TATGTTGCAAGGCACACAAATACCGTAATAAATAATACAGTATATAATAACATAACGAATACCGTACCAAAAAGCGAATATGTAGCTTCACTATGCGCACGTTCATTTGAACTCTCCTTTTGCTTGTAGTGGTAGGGTTAGAGGTAAGGGTTACAATATACTACAGAAAAATCAAATCTGCAGTTCGTTTACCGTTGCAAATAAGTTTTCTATAACTCGGGAACGAAAATCTCTAGTGTTTCAAATGTTGCTAATATCGCGCTTTTTAAAATTTTATTTTTTTATTTACTTATAATTAACTTTTACTCATCTTTCAACTATTTAAAGTAAAAATGATGGAAAGGGATGCTGGAACTCAAGAAAACGTGCGCAGATGATCTTCTCTCCCATATGTCACATACAGTTTTTACCGCTTTTTGACTAAATAAATAAATACTTAGTTTTGTTGCTCCAAAGTCAATGCGTCGCAATATAAAATATTGTTATCATATTTTTATTGACCGTCCGATCATCGTTGTTTTCTCCGGGTGCGGATAAAATGACGCACATTGTATAAACAATGTTATAAATTAGGAACATGAAATTATAAGTTTGTTTTTAATTAGTAGTATTAAAACACTAAGATTACTGTAACTAATCACGTTCGAAAGAGCCACCTGCAATAAAAACGAACTTGCATTTGCGATATGTTCGCTCATGGACAAACGAACACCTAGAAAGCTTAGAGAGGCACACCAGTCTCGCCGAGCCAACCGGCGCGCGTATCCAAATTATTTTCGCCCACCCCTCTGCTAAGACCCAAAATACTTCTGAAGCACGGCGCACTTCGAAGGAAGGCGATAACGAACTCCAGTGGCCTGGTGATTTCTATTTGCAGAACCTTTTGGTCAACTCGGAATGGTGCTCTCGATTAGTTGGACCGTTAAACTTTTTTCTGGAACGCCTGGAGTGGGAGTACGAAGGAATACGGAAAACGAAAATTCCACAAGGTGGGGTAAACTGTTATTAAATTATCCCATAAAGACGTCTCCCAGAAAACCTGTCGTTTTAATACGAGGTTTAATTAATCCAAATCGTCAAAACATATTTCATATTATTAATAAAAATAATATTATGTCGTATGAAATTCTAAAATTATAAATACAGGATATATACGTTACTTAAAAGTCATTATTTTCTTAATACTAATTCCAAATGAATCGTTCAGTCGCACTTGCCTAGGTAGCGTTTCGCTTCACCCTACAATCTTTAAACAGATGGGATTATCTTTGTCGAACAAAATTCGAAGTGTTCGCAAGTACACAATTTTGAAATATGTATCAAACAAGAAAGGCTATTTTTGAGAAAATGTTAAATCAGCTTAAATGAGTTCTTGTGACCTTTAAATAATATCTAGAAAGAACCGCAATATTATTTTTTTTAATCAAAAATATGTTGAATTATATAATTCAGTTCCATTATTTTCATTCTGTTACTTCACTGGTTTAGTTATTCTATTCTTCACTTTTATTTCTTCACTACGCTGCTGTGCGATTGGCTCTCTGCAAGAAGATGAAAACGGCAACCATGCACACAGTTGATTAGCGTACGCTAAGCTTCAAAATTACTCTTGCTTTTGTGTATTGAAATCCAATGCTTCATATTGGCTCGTCGTTGGTGTATAGAATATAATCTGAAAATTTAAAGATGATATGCCAACGAAAACGCCTCTTTCACGAATAGCTACGAATTACAAAATCTTGAACTCTTTTCAAGTAAAAGTATTAGGCTAATACTTCTAGAATGCATGAGTTCAACGTGGCAGTTGAATAGAGAAAGCTGAAAAGATTAAAATAACAAAGGAAAGTAAGTGAAGGAACATGAGTATCTTCTCTTCCTGCATGAATTTCAAAACCGTCACATTTGCACTGAACAATATTTTGCCCTTTCTACTCAAAATTGCTGATCAACCTTATAATTCCGATGTCATTTGGCAAATACTAAACAGTTTACAAACATTATCTTTGCCCTTGAAACTTTCTGAGAAATTCTATGTAAACTCTTTAAAATTATGCCTACGAACGAGAAATTCAAAAAGTATCAGACAGAAATAATACATTATCAAAGTTATTACGACAAACGCAATTACAATACATTGTTTCTAATTTCAGTACATGAGAAATGTATTTGGTACCAGAGATTATTTTCATTTTCGAAATCATTAAATTTCTTAACTTTTTTCACTACACAATATTGCTGTTCTAGGATATCTTTGTCCTGTCCTAGTTTACAAGCATATATAATAATAGATGGCATTTCAATTCTATCTTCGATAGTATTAAATATCCAAAACCAATATGCTTGCAAGCTGTAGAGTAAATATATTCACAGGCATTCGATGACAACACATCTCCAAACCACCAATTACGTTCTCAATGAGATGACCGAAAGCATTACATTCAGCCTTCGCGGCGTGCAAAACCTCATTCGGCTGCTTCCTTACTCGGCACTTTAATATTAGTGTTTGCCCAGGGCATCTCTCATTTCGATGCCCCATGGCAGAGTATTAACGCCATCTCCTTTAACGTGCAGGCCTGCGAGACCATTCCTCGCAGCGAGGGCAAATCCTACGAATTTCGCGTCCCCCCGTTCAGTCAACGGAGACCCCGTCCCAGCGTCATATCCGGGCTGTCAGCGAGCTCTTTTGTTCCGGCGACTGATCTGCGCCACTGTCGCACGTAGCCATGAACTCCGCCCGGCTGACTTCCAAGGGGCCCCTCCGACGCCGGGAAGGACCTTCGGGAGCAAAAACACCTGCAGCTGTGGCGGCGGCGACGGAATTGGCGAGGGCGTGGTACCGACGGGAGCGTCGGTGTCGACAGGGGTGAAGGTAACGGGGGGCGACGGTAACGGGGGGCGACGGTAACGGGGGCGACGGTAACGGGGGCGACGGTAACGGGGGCGACGGTAACGGGGGCGACGGTAACGAGGGCGACGGTAACGGGGGCGACTGTATCGTCCGGGGCGAAGTCATCGATGAGAGCGACGGTAACGACGGAGGTGACGGATTGAGTTGGTAGATGACAAATCTTTGGGCATGCAGAGCGACGCATGGTGGAGTGGACACTACGTTCATCTCTGAGTACGCTTGTTAAAATCCGTTGTTCAGTTGTGAAGCCAAGGGGTACAGAGGCTTATGATAGTTCTCACCCCTCCCCGCAGAAGCCATTGATACATATTCAAAAACATAGCTTTCACTCATTTTCTATATTAATAAAAGTCATTCAATATATCGATTAACGTAATAAATATGAACTGTTACTAAAAAAAATTATATTCCATCAAACATTCTTTATAAGAAAATATCAAGTCGGCTGGACACTAAACCTTAACCCCCCCTCCCGCAGAAAAAATAGGGTGCGCCTCTGCGGGTAATGCTTGTAGAATTTATGGTGGAGAAATTGGGTTCGTGATTCTCCCGTTTCGCCAGTCCCTCATTCCAGCGTTACCCTCATCATTCAAATCACATCATCACACATTGATCAAACCATTAATCTCTAATATGGCCGAAAAAGCTAGTATTCTTAAGAATCATAATAAATATTAATCTTATGGGCGTTGCCACATTAATTAAGCCAAGATACAAGACCAAAGCGTCGCCATCGTATAATTTTCTTCCTAATTTTGCTTAATGCAAGTATCGACTGTTTAGCATATGTGTTTAATACATCGTTAACTCGTCCTTTGCTAATTGCTAGAGAAATTTGAAACAGTTCTCTCATTTTTCGCTTTTAAGTCCATCGTCAGTAGCAGTGAATGGCGTGGCTAGTTTGTGAAAAACAATACAGCACTTTGCTGTGCTGCGACGGTTTGTAGTGCGACGCTGGCGGCAACTCACGTAGCCCGTCACAGGTCAGCGTATTGGGGGTCGTCCATAAATTACGTCACACTGAAGAGGAGGAACGGAGTTTGAGGCAGTGTTTCGCTGCGTTACATAGGTTAAGGCTAAATTGAATATTAGTTTAATTTTACGTAACATTGATATTCTTTTTAATTTTTCAACATTTGCTGAAATAATTCACTTTTTAGTCTTACACGAAAACATTAAAATATTTACTAATTAATTTGTTTAAAAAAGTTATTACATTTAATTTAGAATAATTAGTTATTAGAATAATTTATTGTTACAATAAATGCAAATATTTTTATCAACGTTTTATTGAAACAGTAAGATTGCGAAGAAAATGTTGAAAACTGATCTGCAGTATCGTCTAAAATCCATTTAAATTGGTGCAGAAGACTCTTGCTAATGCGTCATGCACGAACGCGTGTGCACGGCTTGTGATACAAAATTTTCGCGCCTGAGAGTCCTTCTTTCATTCAGAACTTGCCCCAATCTTATTGTTAGGTGCTGTCAGTATCGCCAATTAATTTCTACTTTAATTACCATAAATGTTAATATACATCACAAGTAAAAAATCCATACAAATGCTTTTATAGTGCTGTAATGTATTTTCACTTCTTACATTTACAAGGAGGGCGTTGTGGCAAGCGTTACGTAATTGTTTAGGGGGTCACGCGCGCGCTGCGGGTGCGTTACAGCGGGAAGATGGGGTATTTAAAATACTCGTTGCGTTATATGGAAGGCCCCCTTAGGAAAGCGCAGATGACGCAGATAGGGGGCGGGGAGGACGGAGCGCGCTGCGGGAGGAGAGAATAGGACTGAGGAAGGGGGTCGGGAGGCGACCGCGCCGCCGACGGAAGCGCGGCGAGGACGTCGCGCGGGCGAGCGGAAGTCGGGCGGCCCCGGGGGCCCGCCGCAGCCAGGCGGCCGCCACGGAGCGGGGCCGCCACCCTCGCAGGCCGGACGTCGCGGCGCGCACAGCGGCCGGCCTCCCGTGCAGCAACTGGCCGCGCCCCGCGACGCACCCGCGCTGCTTTGCGAGGCTCACTGAGGACCGGATTAATTTGAAAAGGCGCTTACACATCACACATTAAATACTCATCATTGCAAAAAAAAATTAACGATTACTAAATTATAAATATTAACAATATAAAAAATGCCTGTCATGTTTGCAATTTATTATGCAATATTCAAATATGTCTACAGATCATGAACTATTATAACATTTTTTTAAATAAACTAATCGGGAGCCCTTATCCAGCGGGAGCCCTATGTGTGCTTGGTCTGCCTATATGTTAATGTGCAGAGGTATATATTTCGTCGCCACAGGCAGAGTTATTACCTACTACCCATTGTCTTATAAACTATGTTTATAAAATGTTTCCTAGTACAGTCTTTATTCTATACACATATCATTACACCTTAGAAATGAGTTTTTCAGGAGATGATCCCTATTCATGTTTCAAAATGTTATTGTTTTTGAACGTATTTTAATAGTACATAAATATTTAACCCATTTTCAAGACACTAATATTTTAAATTATCTTTTAAGTAGGCAAAGAACTGTTAATAAAAAGACATCAAATGTTTATCGATTTTAATATCAAACTGAGAAAGAAGTGTATAAATTAAATTAATTTATTGGCATAAATCTAGTGAATTGCACGTATTGCTTTTATTCTTTTAAACGGGACCTAACAATTTTCTGAACCCGGCTTTGCATCGCGTTTCTGTCCGTGGCGAATCTCCGGCGACTTTCTGGAGGGCAGAGTCCGGTGGACACGGACTCAGTTCCCAAGCCGACGGGAGAGCTGGTAAAGTGAGAGAGAACCGGAGAGAGGAATACAGAGAGAGACAATCGGACCCCCGAAATCGGCGGCTGACACACCCGGAGCAGAGCGGATCTTCACGGAGCAGAGAATCGCAGAACAAGCGAACTCGAAGTTCCGGGCTCTGGACGCCGTGTCGTAGGCACAGTGCATGTGGGTTCTCTCTGCTATTGTATGCTTAGCGAAAGGTCACGGCGCGGTACAACGTTATATAACCGTTCCTTTTACTCTAGAACTAAGTTAATGTGGCGTGGAGGACGCTTTCAACCGTTTTAAAAATATTTTCAAATGTTAAAAACTTCTACTTTGAAAGTTCTAAATAAAAGATAATTTTAACATAAAATTGTCTGGTTTTTTCATTCCCGGACGGAGTACTTTAAATGTGAGACGCATCCTTTATGATATTTGGGGATTCTTCCATTTGATATTGATTCAGCATGTGCTTTTGATAAGTCCTTTGTGTAAAGTTGGCTGTTCTGAAAGAAATTTCCTCTTTCTAGCGCTGTTCTTTCACACGGGGCCGGCAGTCCTTTCTCGGGCATCGTGAACGGTCGTGACTGAGTTAACTGGTCGGAAATGAGTGTGCTGAAGATCTTGCGAGATAGTTATAGATAATTATAAATGTTGTTACTACCAACAAACAATTTTTCTCAAGGAAGTAAGAATATCTACCAACATTACAAAAAATTCATTCCTGAAATAACAAAACAAAACAGAAACCTAGTTACAAACAAAACAGAAACCTATTTTAGAAAAACCTAGTTAGTGTTTGTTTTGAATAAATCCTATTACCGGCACTTCTCTGCAGAATTATTTTAATGTACATATTTACTAGTCGTAGTTGTAATTACTTTACATTAATTGCTCGCATTATTATATATTAGTGTTACGAAATTTGAAATAACATTTCCATCATTCGATGAGCTACAACCCCCAGTTTGTTAAGGCAGCGGTGGTCACTGCTAGATGGGAGTTCTAGGGGTCGGCTGCTCTGATCTGTATTTGTCCGTGGTTTCTCCTATCAATATCAGGTGAATGCTGGAGCAGAACCCCTAACAAACGACCCACGGACGGCGTGGGTTCTTTTCTTCCTCTTCCTTATCCTACCCTCACCGCTTACATACACTCGCATGCACCACGTTTTCACACATATCGCGAGACGGATCTCCCCATCAAGGAGTGAACATCGATACCACTCGTGATAAAACATATACTACACTTACGTGCCTAATGACCATAGCAGTTGATGCGCCTGGCCACCCGAAATAATCATTCAATTGTGAACTGAGACCGACATGTGGCTACAATAGACGCCCTCACTGCGCGGCTGCTCGGAAGTGAATTCAAGGCGAGGGAGCAAACAAGGGCCGTCATCCCGCAGAGATCTCGAACGGATATTATAATTTATCTAAATAATCACTCATAATTGCACAATTCCCAAGTAGACCCTGGCATCGATTCTGTCCTTGGTCACCAAAATCTCAAAAGGAATAAGGTAGTATAATAAATGAATTAGATAAGAAGTTTTCTCTCTATAAGACTTTGAAATTGTTTCATTCCCGTATATGTTGCTATTGGCCAAGTAGATATGCCTCATTCTACAAAAGCGGCTACGGCTCTGATATTCCTCTAAAAGTAAGCAAATACCATAATGTAACGTAAATCTGGCTGAAATATCACGCGGAATGATAAGTAAACCAGTGTTACGAAAATCAGTAATACAACTGTTTTTCTTTAAGAATAATATTGAACTGCTTAATACACTCGAATAATATCGAACTGCTAATTGGATTTGGTCCTGTGTTTTGAGGCAACTGTGGTTATCATCTCGCAATTGAACTCAATGCTCGGAGAAGACACAGCAGTGTTAGTTAAATTTGCCAATAGACGGAAAGTTGTGTGATTACGCACTTAAATTTCTGTACTATTTTTAAAGTTTAAATTTTAGTTGCCACCACCCTGCCATATTTTTCGAGAGTCAATTACGTCGGAAATATGTCCCGCATAGTAAATGCAGCCCTGATGTGATCCGGTCATCCACAATACCAATAATTCACAATATATCCATTACTATTCATGAAATCGAAAACGAAAACTGAGAAAAACGAAAATCGAAACGAAACCTATACATCCCGTTACCCCACGACACAAGCGCCGACATATTTTGCGACCAAAATTTCGTCTACAAGTCACGTTCACATAACTGGCCAATGTTCGTCGGAGTAGCAAGTCAATTCTGAGAGCAGCTTTCTTAGCGAGTGATGCCGGCTGATTTACGAGCTGCGTTACGAGGGGCCTCCTTCCTTTTATTGCGTCCTCCCGGCCTGGCGCGGCCAGCGCGTG